ATCCCAGCTGAAGTCTTGCCTCACCAAAAGCCCGTTACTAGGGTAGACCTTCTGCCCCAAACACAGATGGCAGCAAGAACCACGTCTAGGTTGGATGGCCGTTAGGTCTGAAACCGCTAGTTGTCGGGCGGAGAAGAGATGGCTGAACGCTGCCGTAGAGAATGATGTCACACACGCCTGCACGCACCCACCCCCAGACGGACCACAGAAGGAAGACCGTGTCTAGACTCTACAAAGCCACTGAGTGCCTCGGCAGATAACTTGGAACTCCAAGTGGAGTGTGAACACACACCTTTACACATATGTGTTTAAAATTCTAAATACCCTTCGTGGCAAAGAGTCACCTTGGTCCGTCAATCACTTGTCGGACCATCTGTGTCTTTGCCCGTTGTTCACATAGAGCAATCTGGTGCGGGCTTGTTTGTTTCTCCACGGCTTCCAAAAATAAGCCAAGCTTCCAGAATGTGGCATACACGTCAAGCCCGAAGTGTCTGTCTGGTCTGCCAGACTGTTCATAGTGCCGTGCTCGGGGCCTGATTAAAGACCTAGGCTGGGGTGGGCACACGGCGCGGGGACATCTCAGTGCTGTGACCGAGGGAAACCGTCTGGGAGCAGACCGGCATGCCCGGGGGGTTCAACCACGAGAAAGGGACGGCGTCCACAAGACACCTCCAACTGGAGCCCTACAACTCCTTGAGAGCCACACGTCGAGTTCTCGCGGGTGCGGGTGCTGACGGTCCCTGCAGCGGGCGGGGTTCACGGTGACCGTCCCCTCGGGATTGCTCCCTGTGAGTCCGGGCACTTTGCGAAGGGACCGAAGAGTTGCATGTCCCCTGACTTCCTCTGAGTCCTTAAGGCGTGAGAGCACCCTTACTCCTCCTTTGCCCGTAGCAACCACAGAGTCCGGCCCTGGCGCCTGGGTCCCCCCCAGAAAGCACCCCGAGGCGCTGGGGTTGCGGCAGCCGGGCAGAGACCCCGGCTCATTGGAAGTCTCAGCTCCTTGAAGGCTAAACCCACAAGGATGATTGGGGTTTTTCCATTTTTTTTCTTTTAACCATACTCTGCCCCCCCAACCCCCCAGCTAATCTCAGCCAGAGTCTCAACTCTGTGGTCAAGGCCCCCCCACGAGACCCATCCTGTCCTGACAACTTTGCCATCTCAGAAGATCCGAGCCCATCCAGGGGAGGGCAACGAGAAGGAACCTCTGCTGAACGGGCCGCCGTGCCCCCAGTAGCGGCTCTCCCACATGGCAGGACTCTGAGGACCCGAGCTGGGCTTCAGACTCCTCGTAAATGAGAGCTCTCGCCTCTGGCTCTGTCCTCTCTCTGTCTCTAGCTCTATCTCTCTCTGTCTCTCTCTCTCTGTCTCTCTCCCCATCTCTCTCTCTCTGACTCTCTCTCCCTGTCTCTATCTCTCTCTGTGTCTCTATCTGTCTGTGTCTCCGATCCCTCCTCCTGTGCATCTGGCACAATCCAGAGGTTTCATGTTTGCTGCTCTCTGGTCCCTGGGACCCCGATTCAGAATCAAGGTTCCATGCCCACAGTAATGGGGAGCCACCCGGACAGAGCCGCCCAGTTTCGGAGGCTGAGATGCTGGTGCACTTACCCAGGGCCTTTGCACGAGCCACCCCTTCTGCTCAGGGCGGCCTCCCCGCCCTAACTTGGATCATCCCACACTCATCCTTGCAGCAGGAGTCTCCTGGCTCTGGAGCAGATCTCTTGGTTCAATACATGGGACACATTCCTATTACCCGTTGGGTCTCAGCTACTCAGTCACCTCCCGAAGGATGCCTCCCCCCTGCCTTCTAGATCCCCTGGCCAGGAACGGTCTCCCTGCATTCGTCCTTCTTGGCATCAGTTTGAAATCATGTGCAACTACTTGCATTCAATAAAAAGCTATGTTGAGTGAATGCATCAGTCAGCGCAGGCTGTGCCAAAGCACCCCAGCCTGGGGCCTCACACACCAGAGTTCACAGCCTCGCGTCCTGGGGGCTGGGAGCCGAGGTGCAGGCGTGCGCAGGGCTGGGGTCTCCCGAGGCCTCTGTCCTGGGCGTGCAGACGCCGTCCCCTCCCCGGGTCCTCACGTGGCCGTCCGTCCGCACGTGTGTGTGTCCTGATCTCCTCTTATAAGTCACCAGTCAGACCGGCTTGGGGTCCATCCTAGGGACCTCACCCTACCTTAGCCACCTCTTTAAAGACCCCGTCTCCAAATACGGCCTCCTTCTGAGGCCCGGGGAGTCAGGGCTCCAGGACGCATTTTCGGGGAAGCCGTAGTTCGGCCCATATGGCGAATGAGCGGCATACTGACCGCACGCTGGCCGCCTGCCTACTGGAACCCGTTCAAGGCCACTTGTGACTATTTTTATCCATGTGGAAGTTGCCAGAAGAGATCCTCATGCTCTCGTGAGCATCAGACTTCTTGTGTGCTGCAAAACTCCGTGCAGACCCTGAGCTCCCTTGTATTGTTCCTAGAACATCAGCTTGAAAAGTGTTTGAAATACATGTTCCTGAAACTCCGTGAGAAAAATTCTTTGCCTTTACTCCAAACTCTTATCCCTTTCCTCCTGCGTGCACAGAGGTTAATTACGTCCTTGCTTCCCAGGGTGGCCCACCTGTTCGGGCTGAGGTATGTTTGTGTGTTTAGCTAGAAGCCACATCCACCAAAGGAAGACGTACCTGCATCCGGTCGGAATACACGGCCGGCAAGGAAAGTGGGTCAGCTTGAGGAAGGCCTTCTGTCACACTGTGTTTTGGCAAAACGAGGCTCTGAGAAAGGGATTTGAGAGGGGCCGAGGTGTGCGTGGCCCAGGGGTGCCGGCAGAGTTCGGTGGCTTCCCACTGTCACCTTCTCCCCCAAGGACAAAACTGCCCCAGAGAGCGAGGCTGTGCGGGACATGGGCCTGAGTGTGGCCTACGAGGCAGACATGAGTCGTACAAAACTTGGCAGGACTTGTTGAAATGATGGCAAAGCCAAAGTGCTCAATTCACGTGCCTTTTACAAACAACCTATGCCTAACATATTGAGTGCTTTTAAGGAGGCAGAGTACCAGGTCGAATCCTTCCAGGTTTTAGCAATTACGGGGTTTATTAAAAGTTCCAGCAAACCTGTTATTTCACATGAACAGACTTTCCAGGTAACTGACAGGGGCTCACGCACCGAGGACTTTTTAAAATTTCCATCTTACTTGGTAAAAAGGCAAACGTCGTCTTCACAAAGCAGGCTCCAAAAAACAGGACCCCTGCTCAGCCCCTCATGCCACTGCAGTGGGTAAGTGGAGTCTCCGTGGGTTGGCCCAGCGCACGTGCTGGGCTCCCCGCGCACCTGCTGTGGCCCTCACTTCCCCTCCCTCAGCCAGCTCTCCCCTGCTTTCCAGACATGCGCTCATCCTGATGGGAATCCAGGGGCGTCTCCAAAGGGCTCCCCCTTTGAGGTAGTGACTGTACTTGTTGCCACGGCAGAGCTTCTGAGAGATATTTGAGCTTTCCAATCTATAGAATAAGCAAAAACAAAGCCACAAGGCCTGTGCGCGCACGCGGGCCGGACTGCATACCATCTCTGCTTCCGGGTAGACGCCTGTCTTCACCATCGGCCATCCTGCATTTTTCCTTTCGTATGAAACAATACTTTGATGCTTGCTTCACATCGTTTATTTTCTCATCCAGTCACGCTTTTTATCTGTTAATATTTTTTAAATGACTAAGTGTAATTTACATGTGGAGAAACATATCCTGCACCTGCTATGGCTCATGACAAACAGGTACACGCATGTAACACATCATTCCAGAAAGAACCCTCCTGGGCCTGCCCAGCAGCCAGCACCTGACCCAGGAGGCCCCCCTCCCGACTTCTCTCCCCAGAGAGCAGTTTGCCTGTTGGGGAACTTCATATAAATGGAATTACTTAGCACCTTCTCTTTTGTGCCTAGCTTTTTTTTTTTTTTTTTTTTTGCTCAGCATAATGTTTTCGAGATTCATCCATATTGTAATATATTTTAATGCTTCAATTTTCTTCATTGCTGATAGTTTTCCATCCTATAAATGTAGCACAATTCACGTATCCATTCTTCTGTTGATGCGTATGCAGGATGTTCCTAATTTTGAGCTGTAATGGATAAAGTGTTAGCTGTTCTAATGGGTGTGTCCTGACAGGCTTGTGATCTTAATTTGCGTTTCCCTAATGGGCGATGCTGTGGAGCACTTTGGGTGTGCTTATTATTGGCTTCTGCATATTCTCCCTTGTCGAGTTTCTGTTCACTTATTTTGCCCATTTTTTTAAAATTTGGATTTTTTTTTCCCCTTTATTATTAAGTTGGAAGAGTTCTTATATTCCGGAGACAAATCAGTTGTCTTGATCATAAATCTATTATCCCAATCTGTGGCTTGCATTTTGTTTTCTTAACAGTGTATTTCAGTGAGCTGAAATTTTTAATTTTGATGAAAACTAATTTCTTTACAATGAGTGCTTTCTATATCCTAAGAAATCTGCCTCCTGAGCATTATGAAAGTCTTTGTATTTTCTTCCACAAGTTTTATCATTACAGCTCTTACATTTGGGTTTATGACCCATTTTGTGACAATTTTCGGGTATGGTATGAGGTAGAGCTCAGAATTCACTTTTCCCAAGCCAGTGTAGAGTTCTTTCAACACTATTTCCCAATAAGACTTTTCTTTCACCCCATTGTATTACTTTGAGATCTTCATCGATTTGATTGATCATATAGGTATGATTCTATTCCCAAATGCTGTTTCGCTCGGGCCTATTTATCTGTCTTTAGGCCACTCCCAAATTTTATTTGTTCTTGGTTATCAATATCCTCAACGAATGTGATCTCAGATAGCTCCAGGGAAGAGCTTCTGCTCTCTGAAAGTGCCTCCCACGTGCTCTGGAAATACACAAAATCACTCCCACGGGGCCCTGGCCATTTATTTTGCAAAGAGTGGTGAGGTTTCTGATGCAAATGTCCTGGATCACTTCAGGAGGTGCGTTAGGAATGCTGCGCTATGCTGGTGACCACCAGGCCTTCCCTGGAAGTGACCCTTGGCTGGATCCAGGGAAGCCCCGGGCGCACCCAGCACCACGGCCAGTTCAGGGCCCCTGCTCTTTCTGGCGCCCGTTTCCAGCTGGTGCAGGGCGTGCCCAGTGCCCCTTCCAGATACTTCCCCACAGAAACACCTTCTCCTTCCTCCAGACTTGACAACGGGGTGGAGGGCAGCCGGGAGCGCGGGGAATTCTGTGAGCCAGCTTCTCTCGGCATATCCCAAAGGTCCAGAATTGAGTAGAGTACAGCCTCCATTTCCCATCAGGAACCTGCATGAGCCCAGTCTCAGGACTGTGGTGAACCAGAGGACAGCACGAGCTGGGAGCCAACCCAGCGCAGCGCCACGCAGACACTGTGCGTGAGGGGACAGCCGCCAACAAAGCCGCTGACAGTCAATCATTTGCGTTGCAGTTTTTCCAAACCAAAAATGCAGTCCCTGCCATCCTTCCTAACGACATGCTAAGGCTGCAACCTGCCTCCTCTTCGTACAGACGAAGGCGAACAACCGGAGAGCCGGGTGGGTTCGCCCAGCAAACAGGCAGGCAGCTCCCTAGGTGTCCTGCTCTGAGCGGGTTGGTGTGTTTGAGCTGGAAATCCAAACTCCACTACGCTGAAGGAACTGCTAGGGCATAAAAGAGGTAGGGTTCAGATAAAATACTGAGCGTCCCGTACAATGTGACTTGTTAAATCGTGGTGAAACATACAGAAGGTAAAATTCGCCATATTGACCATTTGAAAGCATATGGCGCATCAAATACATCTAGATTGTTGTGCAACCATCACCACCATCCAGAACTTTCTTATTGTCTCGAACGGAAACTCTGGCCCCTCATCCCCTAGCCCCTGGATCCCACCATTGCATTTTCTCTGTCTATGGATTCAACCCCTCTGGGGACCTCAGATAAGTGGGTCCCATTGTATTTGTCCTCTACTTACTCCAATCTGCATCATGGCCCCAGGGTCCATCATGTTGGGTAATATTCCATTATGTGCATGCACTACACTGTATTGTCCATTCATCTGTCAGTGGACACTCGGATTGCTTTTAGCTTCTGTGAACACCGGTGTGCGGGTATCTCTGTGAGACCCTGCTTTCGATGCTTTTGGGTGTACACCCAGACGTGGACATGCTGGTTTCAGGCTCCCTCCATCGTGCACAAGGATGCCGACCCCTCCACAACCTCACCACCCACTGCCTAGTTGGCTTCTTTACGGCAGCCATTCAATGGGTGTGAGGTGGTAGCCCAGTGCGGCTTTGATCTGCATTGCCCTGCTGATGAGTGTGTCTGTTGGCCGTCTGTATGCCTTCCCTCGAGAAATGTCTATTCAAGTCCTTCGCCTTAAGTCTGGATTTCAGATAGACTGGATAATTTTTCAGTATAGGCATACCCCACACAATGCTGGAGATTTATATATACTAAATAAGTATCTGCTGTTTATCTAACTCAGTGTCTGGTGTTTTTATTTGATAAATCTGGCAACCCTAGAAAGCAAGAACTTTGAGCACCTACAACAATCTTTAAATATTTTGCAGCCTTGCTAAGGTGAGCTCTGAAATGGTTTGATGTATTTTTGTGGGTGTTTGGCTGGTATCCCTGCTTTATTAGAAAAATGTAATTTCATTTTGAGATGCTCCAGACTAAATCATTTGAGCTTCACACTCTTTGTGTAACATTATTGGGCGCCCTTAATGAAATTATAACTCAAGCAAGAGATTTCATTCCCTTGTAGTAAATTAGCTTGGGCTGTGAGGGTTTGGGAGAGCCAGTCCCTCCCTGGCTTATTCTTCTCGTTCCGTAGAATGAAGAAAGAGAGGCATTTTATATTTGAGTTATTTATTGTTCTCTCTGAGTGAACATTATATCGTTGCCCGTCCCTACTGGAAACAACAGCTGTTAACGGGCTCCTGAATGAATTTCAATGTGAACTCCCCTGGCCTCTGGAAAGCTTGGGTAAAGAGAAAACAGGCTCAGAATTGAAAGAAAAAGAGCACATTTCAGGCCTGGGTCTGAACGCCTGAAGGCTAACTGCAGCTAAAACCACTAGCTGAGGTTTTCGTGCAAAGTCACACTTAGATGTGTGCAAAGAGGGAGCCCCACGAGTCAGCAGTCCCCCTTCCCGAGGACAGAAGCAGATGATGGCATGGGAGCCACCAAAGACCCGGCCCTCCGGTGCCAACGGATTCCTGGAGGCAGGGAGTGTCCCGTGGCAAAGTAGCTCAGCCCCCATGGGCCAGGCCAGCCACGAGAACCACCAGGAACCGTACAGGGACAGGCGGGCATCCGAGAATGGGGAGGTCTGCATGTGCCATCTCTGGACGCGCTCCCCTCTGCCCCGGAATAGGTTCCTCTGTGGACAAGTGCTCCCAGCTTCTGAGGCTGGATTCAGTCGGTGGAATCTCTACAGAAAGGAGCTTTTCCTTTGGCCCCTTTATTAGTCCTTTTTTAATGTCTCCCAGGTGCATTCCCTTCCCCCAATTCCCGAATCCTTCCGTTTAAGAGAGAGATTGTGGGCACTGTAGGTCATGAGTGGCATTGTCTCGGGTCTAGTGGCCCACCCTGGGCTGACTCGGGCCAGGTGTTGCCTCACTCCCCCCACCAGGGTAAGCGGAGGGCGCTCTCCCGGGCTCCTGCCCCTGCTTCGTCACACGCCCATTTGCAGGAGGGACGGAGGGGGCCTCCCCCCCCCGCACCCCTTCCTCCCTGGTGCGCCGCCGCTTTTCCCTCTGCCCAGCCGCTGGCTGACCGATTTCTACATCCTTGTTCAAGCCCACAAAGCAAGTTCTCCGCTCACGGGGAGAAGCGGTCTTGGCTTTATCTGCATGATTCTTGTTTAATTACGGCTTTTTTTTTTTTTTTTTACTTGCTTCACTTCCTCTCTGTGAAATGCCCTGGGTCCCAGGCTCTGCCCCGCCCAGCATCCCATGAGCTCACGCAAGGTTCTTGCCCCAGAAACAATCGCTTTGAGTTTTGAGGGACACAGAACAAGAGGAGGGGAGATGCCAAAAATGAGAAAAGAAGAAAGATGGAAATCATAAAGTTGAAAATTGAATGGAGAGAGTTTGATAAAAATGCTGTCAGAAATTCAATAAAAGACTGAACCAGAATGAAGTGGTTGAAACCAAAACGAGCTTTCAACCTCCCTTGTCCAAATCCTCAGTAATGAGAACGTAGGAAAGCATTGAGTTTTTCTGAAACTCGGTGTCAAAGTGCATTTCCTGTTCTTTTCTTTCCAGACAAAGTAAGCATGTTGTCAGCTTTCACCGCTCCCTTCAAGCACTTAAGCCCCGGGGCCACAAACACGGAGGACGAAGACAATCTAAGTAAGCAGTTTCCCTTCCCTGTCGAGTGGAGGGGGTCCCGGCCCCATGCGCAGGGGGGGTCCTCTCCTGTCCCCAAACACTGAGACCCTCGGGGTGCTGGTGGGGACTGTCCGGGCTCCCCGAGCAGGAGGCTCTGCTCCTGCCCCCCACCCCGGGAACCCCATCCCCAACACGAGTCCCATCCCCATGAGGGATCCCTTCCCTGCCATAAAATACCATCCTCACCTAGAACCCTCTCCTGCCTGGGACCCTGTCCCCACTCGGAACCCCGTCCCCATCAGGATAATAGGAAGATATTAGCGGCGACTCTGTAATTGAGAACTCCAAAGACTGTAGGGAAAAATCAGTTCTCTTGAACCCCTCTCCTCTCTCTTTTGTTTTTGCCCTTCAGAAGGAAGGAGGGAAGGGAAGGAAGAAGGGAGGAAGGGAGGGAGGGAGGGGAGATGGGAGAGGGAGGGACAGAGGAAAATGAACACAGTAGGACCATTTAACAAGGACAGAGCTGGACGGGTGCCTGCCTGTTGGAACATTTCTGGTTCATAAGGAAACCGGGGAGGCCCCAAAGCAGTGTGGAGCGGGGATGGAAACGCGGGTCCCCCTGCTGAGACCACGGAGGGGCCCCCTGGGCGGGCAGGGCTGATGGGGGGGTTCCTGGACGTGTCCGGCACGCTCTCAACCCCTAAACCACACAGACCCCTCCTGCATTTCAGAATTACCTCACAGCTGGGTCACCTTCCGCCCAGTGAGGTGGTGCAGACCGTGCTCCCTGCCCAGAGCAGGGAGCTTGCGGGAGCTCACGAGGACCCTGACCAGGGCGCGCGGTGGGGGACCCGCACAGGAGTGGGGGCCACCCTGCCGTCGGCTAGTAAGACGCACAGCCAGCAACAGGACTGGAGGCTGAGGGCACAACCCCGCGTCACTGCACAAATCAAAGTCACAGAGTCATGGTGCCTCAGAAACAGAGCAGACCCCCCCCATGTGGAATAGGGACAACGTCCCCGTGGAAATCAGAACGCAGGTCTCTGGGCCATCCATTCAGGGCTCCCTCCCCAGAGAAGTTGGGCAAATGCTCGTTTTTGTTGTCTCAGGGTCTAAGCGGGAAAATCTCCAGGACCCGGTGGGTATATTGATAGCCACTTCAGAAATGTGGAATACACACACACACACGTGTGTACATATACACATCAGCCAATTCTAAGCACACACACACACGTGCCCCAAGCTGAACTGGACGTGCATGCAAAGCGCTTTGATAAAACACCTGGAATAAACATGTTGAGAAAGAAAATCTTCCTCTGCTTCCTCCTCTTTCCCCCCTTGGGGTGATGGGACCCTGCTGAGCGTGGTTGGTGCCCAGTGTGGGGTGAGACCTCGCAGACATGATCTCGTGCCGCCACTGCTCCCCGCAAGCCCGAGCCAGGAGCCCCAGCGCCTCATGTGCATAAACTGAATCCCAGACTTGAGATCGGAATTCAATAGGACAATGTGTGAAGACGGCTAGCAAGGACCTGGAAGAGAGCAAACACTCAAGTTGGCTATTTCCCCTAATCGGTGGAAACCTACAGAGAACAACTTTGAATTGTTACATGTTAGAAAGCCTTTGCAATGCTTGGAAAATCCTTACTTAGAAAACCCTTATTTTCAAACACTGTTCAAAGACAAACCTCCAATCAATGCCCCGTCTTCAACTTCTAGTCTGCCGACACGGTCTCGGCCATTTATAATCCAAGCACCCTCGGAAGGTGGGAGAGGAGAAAGCGGGGTGAGCGGGGTGTGTGTGACATGTGTGACGTGTGCATGCACACACCTGTGCAGGGGGGAAGGGTGGGCTGGTAGAAGCGAGTGTGACTTTGACTCAGGTGTGTTTGGGCTGGTGTCACACAGAGGTGCTCTGCCCGCTCCGTGTGTGGAGCACGTTCTGGACCATCAGGCAGGCTCCCCCGTGGCCACCGGCACTCACTGCCACTCGTCCCTGGAGCCTGAGCTCCCAATGCCAAGGGCAGAGCTGGTGTCAGGGGTCAGTGACCAGAGAGACTCAGCCTGGGAGCCCATCTGGAAGCCAGCCATCAATGGGGTGGGTTTCTGCTAAGGGTCTCCTGGACAGAGCCACATTGTTGAGACTTCTGCTCAAGCGGGCAACTCTGAAAGCTTTCTCCTTAAACGCTGAGAGGGAGTGAATCACTGCCCCAGCGTGGTCACCGCTGTGCCTACCACTGACCCAGGTCACCCGAGGAGGGGTCACTCCCCGAGCTGCAGTCTGGAGGGAGGGAGACCAGCCCACCACACCCGCTTGATCCTCACCCAGATGTGGGTCAGACACCATGTCCAGGACCACGTGGGACACGTCCTCAAAAGGAGGCACCTTTGCCTGCTGCCTAGCGTCAGGCCTGCACTTCCGCAGCCCGAGTCAGCAGGCCCACGTGGCCTCTCGGTGTTCCCAGGGCATGGATGTGCCTCGGCGGACCCCCTTCCCATGCGACTGCTCACCTGCCAAGCACCAGGGCCTCCCTCTGGAGTGAAGGGAGACTCCAGACCATTGGCCTCGCTCCTGTTGGCCCCCATCTGACGCAAATGGGGCAGATCAGATGGCCGGTCCCTGGTGCCCTACCACCTGAGGCCACGGCTGCATCACTGTTGGCCACGCGGTGCGGACGTGACTAGTTGGAGAAGTCTGGCTGCCTAATAACCAGACAGACGCTGGCCCCAGAAAGGGGACGGCGGAGGGGGGTGAGGCACACGCATGATACACAGGCTCACACATGCTGCCTGCGCTTGCAGGAGCCGGAAGGCCCTGAGACCACAGAACCTCACCCTCCATGTGGCCCGCCCACGTTTGAAGGATGGCCGTCAACGCACAAGTGCAGCCTGCTAACCGGACTTAACTCTGTGAGGATATATTTCACCTGGAAAGTAAAATTTTAGCCACGGCCACACCAATGTAAAATTCAGTTCTTTCTTCCTAAAATGCAATTCTTTCATGCATTGGACCTCTAAACGTAGCACCACTTTTGCTGACACTTTTTGCCAAACAGGAGAAGCAGTCACGGGCTCCGGAGACGGATCGATGTGTGAGAGAGCAGAATGGAACGGTTGCTTTATGTTCTCCCGCACGTCGCTCTGCCGTACATACTCTCCTCGGTGCCTGGCGGTCACCGAATTGCTGGCCACCGGTCTGTGGTATCTGTCTAATGGAGCTTGAAGTCATCTGCCTGCTTTTTTTCTAATTTCCACAACGAAGGACACGTGCGACTGTCTGAGTCACAGAAGCCGCAGTCTGAGGGTGTCTTGTGTTCGACGCCGTGAGGATGAGGGAATTCGCCCTGGGCTGGCATGGACGCTCAGAACACCTGCATGTGTTTTCCTCGGGACTGGACTTTGCCGAGGAAGGCACTGGAATCCAAGTCAGAAATTCTCCAACATGACGTGAGCCCTGGATGGGGGCTCCCTGGGGTGGTGGGAGCCGCCAGGCCCCCAGATCCATCAGCCCTAGTTCTGCTCCCTAGCAGTCACCCACAGGCTGACGTCCGCACGCTGAGTGCACCCACACGCGCAGACACAGAAAGAGTGGGGGGACAGGCAGACCCGCAAAGGCACCTCAAGGTGCAACTGACCTGACAAGCGAGGCCATGTCTGCCCCCCCCATGGGGAGGTGAGTTTCTCGCAGAGCTGCTCCGAGCCCGACCGACTGCGAGTCCCTGAGTTATGACTGGCAAGCAAAGCAATTATTTGGGAGAACGAATTCCAGGGTAGAATTAAAGGACTCACTAATTCTTATAACCTAGTGTGACCCGTCCGTTTGAGCTGTTCCAAGTGTACAACAAATACTTTTTCAGAAACAAATCATTTTTATCATGTAATAAACATTCTCATGCCAAGTCCTGCACCCCGGGACCCAGGGAGAGTCTGGGCAGGTGGGGGCCGCCGATCTTCTCTCAGATCCTTCAAGGCAGGGGCAACCGTCACCTCCACGGTGGCCGTGATCAGTCATCACGAAGCACACAGCCTGGAAGCCCGTGGCGCTCACGGATCACCGTTTACAGATCACGTGGAAAGTTTCACGGGTTGTCTCCCCTGAGCCGCACAGCAGCCCCCACGTGGCGGGTTCTGTGCGCACCATTCGGCCATCAGCGTGCTTTCCTGCGGTCCCCAGAGGAGCTGGTGCTCATGCCGCCCGTGAGGCATGGGGATGGCCCCCCAAGAAGGCCAGAGAGAAGTGCACGGCTGCTGGGTCAGTGCCGGAGGTGAGCTCCCGGATGACTCCTGAACGCTGGGAGCCTGCTGCCCACATCGGGCTGCCTCCGTGTACGGGATAAAGGGTTCGAGATCGGCACATGCCTGAGGGGTGACTCCCCCAGGGCAGACCAGGCCCTGCTCTCCTTGGACGAGGACAATCTGCGTCCCCCTCCCACCTCAGGGTGACCCACGGGGCCCAGGAGCCGAAGACTGTGCTGGGAAATGAGCCCCGTGTGCTTGGATGCCTCAGGGCCCAGACCCAAGGGAGTATGTGTGGGGCAGGTCCTGGGCAGCGTGGCCTCCTGACTCTCACCTCTGGGTCATTCTGACAACAGAGAACGGAAGCCTATTAACTAGTGGAGAACGAAGTGGTCAGGGGAGGGGACCGCGAAGGACCCCCTTCCCTGGGGAAGAAGGAAATGTGACTTTGTGAAGTCGGAGCTGGAGTCCCATTAGAAATTCACGTGGGACCACTACGGCAAAAGTCCCACAAACCAGTCGGGTTTTCACGGCAGACCTGGCAAAGTGGCGTGTGGTTTTCCAGACACGGCCCATGTACCTCTAAGCAGCTCCGGAGCTGCGGCGTGGGTGGGGTCGCTCCGCGAGGCAGCCTCCCGTCCCCTCGCCATCTGTCCCCTGGGGACCAGGAGTCACCGTGCGCGTCTCTCCCACGGGACGGCTGTTGACTCTCAGAAGCTATGACGCCAACCGAAAGGGAGAGACCCACGGTGTGTTTGTGTTGCACTCTGGGGCCCACAGGCTCATGACAGAGGGATGCGCTCAGACCCAGCCTCGGGCCAGCCCAGAGCCCGTGCCCTGTGACAGGACAGACGCCGCTACCCTGCCTCCTGGGGGTCCCCAAATTCCAGGGGAAACTCATCAAGGAAGAGCTCAGCAGTGTCTGCCTCTCTCGTTCCTGCTATTTTCAAAAAGATGTGTTTCCTGTATGTCTGGGTTTGGGCTGAGCCTCTTCCCAATGCCCCTTTAGTTCAAGCTTGGAATAATCTCCTAGGGCAAGCGCCGTTAAAACCCACATTTGCCATTTTGAGAAAGTGGAGTTTGGGCACGTGGAGGGACTTGCCCCTGGCCACACGCATCTGAGAGGCAGGGAGGACACTGACGTCTTGTGTGCTGGAGCCCCAAGCTGGTGGGGTGACCGCTGCTCTGTCTGCCTCCTGCAGCTTTAGCCGGCCACGCTCGGACCTCACAGGCCAGTTAAACAGAGCATGTGGGCCGAACGCCCACTCTGCGTGCTTCCAAAACCAGAGGTTGTGGCTCATGTATCCGGGACAGGGCCCAGAAACCCACTTTTTTTCATCAATTATTATTCATTGTTGGTTATTATGGAAGGGGCCTTCATGCCACAGTCTGATAACCACGGCTGGTGCCACGGACAATGGTACCGAGTGCAGCCGTGGGCGCTGGGAGTCAGGGCAGGAGGGCTTGGCCCGCGACGGCTCTTCCTCCAAGATAACCCTTTCTCGTGGCCTGAGATGCTGGCCACTTCTCTCTTGCTACCAGTCTCACCAATCCCCACCCTGTGTGAAATCAGTAAGAAATTGGAGCACTCCCAGCAGTTCTGAACGCAATCTAGAATGGGGCTTTTTGGCTGGGTTGGGTTTTTTTTTTCTCATCTTCACGTTCAATTTGAGAGGCTGCATGGTTAATCTGAGCCACTGTCTCTGGGCCTGAAATTCTCCCCACCCTGGCAGAGCTCTTTGCTACTGTGCCCAAGACCCATAATCCTTAACAAAAGAGGCAGAGACTAAGTGCTTGATATTTGGAAGGTAATTATTTCTGCTAAAATAGGCTGCAAATGAATGCCATCCACCTTTAACTTACAAAACCCTCGGCATCACGCCTTTGAACAAAGTTACCTCTGCAAACCTAACACCGTATGGAAGCAAACTGCTGGAGGAAATGCCAACTGAGCCAATGCGCTTGCAGTGAGCGGCTGGGGTTTCGCAAATGGAGAACACGTCCCCTAGGGCGCGTCCCCCAGAGAGGGCGCCTCTCCTTGCTGGCACGCTGCACATCTCCGTTATACTCTCCGCTGCAATGCCGCGAGGGCAAGGTCACAGAGTCTGCTGCGCTCACCGCTGCCCGGCTTCTGGGCAGGACTGAGGGGCGCCCACACGACGTCTGTTCAGGAACCACGGGATCAGCCCCAAGCTTCCATGTGCTTAACGAGAACAAACTCACTCCCGACTGCCGGGGACTTCTGCATGGGCCCCGCCTGGCCCCAGGCGGCCGCCTCGCCTCCCATACCTGCCCAAACCAAGGGCCGACCGCGCTCAGCATCCTCATTGCCTCCCAGAGCCCAGCACATGGTGTCCCTGTGAAGGAGCCAAGAAATTGATGGGACGATTCTGTGTCTGTAAAGTCAGTTTTACAGCAGCCGCAAACATTCCCAGGACACTGCCATTTCAACCAACGAGCCCGGATCAACCGTTTCCCTCTTTGAGCCTTGTTTCTTCTAGAGCATGGTGCCGTGATCCCCACGCAGGATGGATTTTAGGAATAAGAATGTCTGAGGGAGCCTCCGTGAAAGGCACCTGCACCGCTAACCACTGTCACCCTTGGCGGATTTCAGTGGAGACCTGAGGGGTCAGCGCCCCAGAAGCACATTCACCTGCAGAGCAATCGGGACTCTCCTCCCGTGGTCCCCAAGTCATCCACACCTGAGATTTCCTAAAAACAACAGCGTTATCAGCCATGAGCAGTCCAAGATGGCCAGGCCACAGAAGTTAAATTATCATTACATGCATCCTCCACCTACAGTTAGCAAAAGTTTGCTAAATTTGCTTCATATCATTTCTTGCCAAGGAAGGAAGGAAGGAAGGACGGACAGAAGGAGCCATCACAGACACCAAGGAAGTGGCCCCTGAGGCCGCATGCAATTTCCTCCTTGTGTCTTGGGGGAAGTAGGAATATCTCGAATCTTTACCACCTGCGTGTGATTACACCAACAGTCTGTAATGTCTGTGTCCGTATAATCTGAACTTGTGATATCCTTGTCTACGTATTATTTTCATCGTATAGCACATTCCTGAGGTTCATCCACGTTGACGCACAGAGATGTAGCTCATTAAACACGGTGCCACGTAGCAGTCCGTTGTATGAGGACACCACCGTTCACCCCCCCACCGGCCTCGGCGGGAAAGGCCTCCCTGACCTCAGCGTTGCCCACAGCTGTTGGGGGCACAGAGCCGCCTGTCCGTTTGGTTGGGGCAACGCTGAGGGTTGCCCGGGCCCAGGGCAGGCGGCTGGCCTCAGCCCCGACCCACCACAGCCCATGCCCAGAGCAGGATACAGCAGCAACGCGGGGGGGCCGGGCGCCCCACACACGCCACCCCCAACACCTCCATCTCAGAAATGCGTCTCTGCAAGAACTGCCTGGGAATGCGGGTCCTCCTGCCTCCGGGCAAATGGCCCCCACTTCTGGGGTGCTGCTCCCCAGGTCTCCCCGCAGGTGCCTGCCCGGAGCTTACCTCCCTGGCTGGCTGGCCATGCTGGTGGCGGGCTCGCGTGCGCCGAGGCCCGGGTCTGCGGCCCAGCGGTGCTGTCGTCAGCTGCCAGTGCCCGGGGTCACGGCTGTCTTTCTCACCTGCAGGTATCAGCAGCGCCGACGTGAAGGAAAACCGCAACATGAGCAACCTGGAGGCCCGGCCCCTGCCCGCCAGTGATGGGGCCCGAGGCGGCACGCCCGGCATGAAGAGGAAGAGGCCCCTGGAGGAGGGCAATGGCGGCCACCTGTGCAAGGTGCAGCTCATCTGGAAGAAGCTCTCGTGGTCCGTGGCGCCCAAGAATGCACTGGTACAGCTCCACGACCTGCGTCCGGGCCTGCAGTACCGCATGGTGTCCCAGACCGGCCCGGTGCACGCCCCCGTCTTCGCTGTGGCCGTGGAGGTGAATGGGCTCACGTTCGAGGGCACGGGGCCCACCAAGAAGAAAGCCAAGATGCGGGCAGCCGAGCTGGCCCTGAGGTCCTTCGTGCAGTTCCCCAACGCCTGCCAGGCCCACCTGGCCATGGGCAGCAGCGCCAGCCCGTCCACGGACTTCACCTCGGACCAGGCTGACTTCCCTGGCACGCTGTTCAAGGAGTTCGAGCCGGCCGCCCCCGGCGATGCCTACGCAGGCCGCCGCCCCGCTGATGCCGGGCTGTTGCCCTCCGCCTGCCGGAGGGGACGACTGCTCTGCCACCCCCTGGACCTGGTGGGCCCGGCGCGGCCAGACAGACCCAGGCCGGGCCCTGCGGCCCCGGGCGACAGGAACCCCGTGGTTGTGCTGAACCAGCTGCGCTCCGGCCTGCGCTACGTGTGCCTCGCAGAGCCGGCCGAGAAGCAGCGCACCAAGAGCTTCGTCATGGCCGTGTGCGTGGACGGCAGGACGTTCGAAGGCTCGGGACGCAGCAAGAAGCTGGCCAAGGGCCAGGCAGCTCAGGCTGCCCTCCAGGCTCTCTTCAACATCCGGCTGCCCGGCCACACCCCCAGCAGGAGTAAGAGTTACCTCCTGCCCCAGGTGAGATGCGCAGGTGCTGGGGCAGGTGGTGTTCTTCAGAAGCTAGGAGGACAGGGGTGGTGGCAGGCACCCGGCAGGCCCCTCTGCTCCCAGCACTGCAGGCTCACAGGGCCCCCAACCCCCTCCCGAGAAAGCCAGGCTCTGCTCAGCACCCTCCAAAGGCCCCCTTTCCCAGCCTCATCAGGAGCAGTTTTCGGGCGTGTGGAGAGAGTGAGTCGTGTGGGTGTAAGGAGAGAGTGTCCACACCCCACGTTAGCAGAGCCGGCCCTCGTGACAGTGATCCCCACCCCCCCGCGAGGGGCAGGAGTGGGGGCCCTGGTCCGCAGAGAGAGGCCTAGCAGGAGGGAGCCCGGCTTCTTCCCCAGACCCGTCGGCCGCTGGGTGGAGAGCAGCATGCGTGAAGTGTGTGCCGGGGTGCGGTCTGGGGGCATCTCCAGCTGGGGGTCCACAGAGAGCCCCGCGACTGTGGCTTCTCTCATCTCGGTGGTGCCAACTGCAGGCAGGTGCGCGCACAGCTGCCTGGGCACCCCAGCCGGGCCAGACGGAGGCAGGGGTCCGAGGCCTAGGCCAGTGCAAAGCAGAGGGCTCAGGGAGGGAAGGGGCGCTGGAAGCCGACGGCACAGCCACGGCACGGCCTCTCTGATCGCGACAATGGGTCTGCTTCACACATGGGTTCGGGGAAGACTGTGTAGTGCCGTCCATGTGTCGGGAACTATCCTGATGCCATTTTGAAACATCCTTCCAAGTCTTGTAAGTGCTCACGTGTGCACATCACCCTTTCTCTCGCCGTTCTGAGAACGATCTGTGGGCGCTGCTTCCGGGTCAGATCCAGCGTTCTTGTGCACTTCAGTGTCAACCAAGGACAGACGTGTCACGGGCGGGTGGGAGTGAGCCCTCCGTGGCTGTGCGTCCCCGCAGAGCACCAGCGCCACACAGCCATCCGAGCAAAGACAGCAGGACAGAGCCCGGAGCCGAGCCTTGACCCAGGCAGGCATTCACTCGTTCCTTCCTTCACTCACTCGTTCACTTGTTCCTTCCATCCTTCATTTGCTCCTCAGCCTGGTGGCTGCAAAGCCAGAAGGGATCCACCCCCACTGCGGGGTCAGGGGAGGGAGGAAGACCACTGAACAGGAATCCCCATTTCTCTGCGGCCTCTGCCCCCGATTCCTTCCTTTCATTTGGGACATTTGTTGAGCATTTTATGGAGCGGGTTGGAGGCGTCTAGACTGCATCGCCGCCTGCCTTGCCTTTCAACCCGCCTTCAAGGGACCCACCATCCAACCATTTGTGGAGCAGCTCAGCACCCGAGCCCGTCCCTGGGCACCTCTGAGGGGGAGGCTGCAGCCCTGCCTTCTCCTCCTGCACCCCTGTTCTGTTTCACGTCTGCCTTTGTTCCTTCCCACCTCTGTGTCTCGGGTGTCTGTGGCTTAAACCTGCCAACGGCGCCCGAGGAAGCCACTGTGCTCCCCAGGGCAGGGTGAGCCTTCCCCGAGGAGGCCCCTTGCCCCGGCCCACAGCAGGCCCCCGCCAGCCGGGCCTTTCTCCCCACCCCAATGAAGGTTGGAGGGTGTCAGGGAGCTCTGGCCGCGACACCTTTCCCTTTCATGCTGTCAACCCTGAGCCCTTGGACAGAGGGACCAGGCGGCACCACGGCTTTGTAACAGCCGTTCGCCCCAGGACGCAGGACACCACTCAGAGCCACGGCCGCTGAATGATTTCTCTGTGACAGTCCGCTAACCACCCTGACTGGATGACGGAGGGCGCGGATCAGCGTGAGGGGTGGGGCCATCCATCACAGCCAAGGCACTGCCATCCTGGAGGCTCATTGCCTGCTCGCCTCACCCCTGCACCCCCAGGCTGGGTGGGGCTGAGCAGGCCAGGGGACCCAGGACCCGGTGCCACCAGGGGCTTGACTGAATGTGAATCCCTGTCTTGGATGCGGTCTGGATTCGGGGGCTGATCTTTAATTCAAAGACAGATCCCAAGAAACCCTGTAAGCCCTGCTGTGCTTTCTTGCTCTGCCCGACACCGCCCGCCCCGTGGTCCTGGGGTCACCTCACTGTGCTGTTAGTACCTGCACCAGGAGAGCGGCCAGGCACCCAGAAAAGGGAGGCCCCCCCGACCCATGGCCCACTGCGGAGGACGGCAGTCCTGCTCGCCGCCAGACTGAGCATTCCAGCGTTCCCAGCCCTGACTCCGGGTCTGCCCCATGCAGGGTGGCCTTAGTGAGCGGGTGACAAACCAAGAGTGTGGTGGGCTACAGAAGCAGCGTCTCTAAGGCTTTCACCCAAGGCTCCGCCTGCCGTGAACAAACCCAGAGTGCTCTCTGCTGGAAGCTCCCTCTGTAAGTGATACACACTGAAGGAAAGATTCAGACATGCTGGCACACAGAGCCATGTGGGGTGCGTATTTAACGCCACTGTGGGCCCCACTTCAGTGGGGTGCTGGGGCGTGGAGCGGGACCCCCGCAGATCTGACTTCCACACAGGTGGTCAGCTCACCTGCACCGTTCAGCCTGGAGAGCAGGACCACGCGGGCCTGGCAGGGCGCGCCGGACGCTCACTCTGTCCTGAAGACAAGTCTGGGTGAGCGCAACCTCCCCAGCACCCGCGGCTGAAGACCTGCGGGGAGCCTGTCCGGAGTGGCCACTGCACTGTGCTGGTCACCCAAGTATCAACCTTGCTGGGGGTGTGGGACATTGACTCCTCCAGGCTGAGTGTAACTCCCCACCAGGGAAGGCAAATCGCATGCACTTGCTTCCACTTCTAGTTTGAAGGAGGAAGTTCTGAAGAACAATATGCTCAGTGACAATTAAAATCGTAGGTATTGATTTCTCTAGGATCTGATTTTCACCAATTCTTTTATCAGGGGCGTTTCTCAGAACTGGGCTAGTTTCGTTCCTTCACTTCCCCAAGATCTGGCTTTGGGTCTCTTATCCAGAAGGCTGAGACCAAGACTTCATTATCAGGTACAGACCTGAGGGGGGGTCTGTAACACTCACAAGTGTGCAGGCTGCGCATCTGCAAATATCAGTTGATAAGGATCATCGACGCAGACCAGGAGGTAGCTGGCCCGTTTTCCTGGCCTGCACTTGGTACACCTTCTCAGGGCAGGACTCCTCTAGCTTACAAGATCCTCGTGATAACGAGACCGTGTCAGGATCTACAGACGGTCCCCAACTTAAGATAGTTCAACTCGACAACGTCTAAGCTTTACGATGCTGCAAAAGTGATACGCATTCAGTAGAAGCCATTCTCTGAGTTTTGAGTTTGGGTCTTGTCCCGGGCTAGTGGCCTCACGAGCAGCTCCCCGTCAGCCCCGCAATCACGGGAGTAACAGCAGATCCACGGACAACATACCATACCCGCCATCTGCTCTTCACGGTGAGCGCCGTATTCCATATGCTGCGTGAGACCGTCAACACCGGCTTATCAAGTAGGCTTCGTGGGAGAGGATTTGTCCCAACCGCAGGCTGATGTAAATGTTCTGAGCACGTTTCAGGTCAGCGAGCCTATGCTGGGACAGTCAAGGTTAGGGGTATTAAATGCATTTTTGACTTAAGGATATTTTCCATTTACAATAGGTTTATCGGGACCCAACCCCATCAGAAGTCAAGGATGATCTCTAAATGCTCATTCCCTGGAAGCATTATCATAAAAAAAGATAAAATCACAAAATCTCTCTCTCTCTTCGGCCTTCACCTCCCACCCCTAGCATGAAAAGAGTTGAATTCATAAAAGCATTAGATCCCATCAGAAGGGCGTCTCTCCCATCGCCTCCCATGGTGGACAGGAGCAGGCCTTAAAAGGAGAGTGGGTAATGTCAGCGTGGTCTCAGGAAACAGCCCCTCAGGTGAAAACAAGCACGATGACTGATTGCACGAGCTTCTCTTTCACACTCATTTCACACTGATCCCCTTTGTTTTGTTTTGTTTTGATGTGTCTCAAAGATTTGTCTTTCCCATTGAGTAAGAGAGGGAGCAACTTCAGCCTGTTCACATGGGTGCTTTGCTGGGACCGCGCCCTCCAGGGGTCCTTGCGGGAAAGTAACGCCACCCAGCTCTGCTCCTGCATGTGTCACTACGCTGAGGAGAGGAGAAACCATGGGAATTTATGACACAACGGAAAGGAAACTTTAATAGCGAATTTGGATCAGAGCTCCAGTGCACAGCCCCATTTCATGGAATCTGCCCCCAGAATTAGCTGCAGAATGAGGCCGGGGGGACTGTTGCTGTCTACTCCACAGCTGTGCTGTGGGATGCTAATAGCATGTTTGCACAAATGCGCCGTCCTTCTCCCAAACCCCAAGGTGACCCCCAGCTGCCCCTGGCCACTTTACAGATGGTTTTTCTGATCTCGTACTCCTGCTAATCTCTCTCACTCAAGAGGAGTGGTGTCCTAACCGCCATAATGCAAAACCGTTAATTAATATTGCCATAATAAATTAGCAAGAGAAGGGCCCTCAAATTTTAAATAGGCTTAAATTAGAAACAGATAGCTATGGAAATCGTATCCACTTGGCTTGGAAATGGCTTAACACTGTCCACGCTGGTTTCCCTGAAAAACACCCCAAACCAGCAGCAGATGTCCAGGCGTCCTCCCCGTGCAGCTCTGGGGACGCAGGAAGGGACAGCCAGGTCTGACTCTGCCTGGGGCAATTCCTGAATGACATCTGAGCAGAGTCCTGGAGCTCTGCGGTTCACACAAGCAGGAAGGACAGTTCTGGACTCCAAGTCACTTTCTTGGAAAAGGCTGGTTTCTTTTGCATGTGGGCACATTGTCTCATCTCCACGTGGCGTACTGTCTGACAGGGTTTCAGTTCCTCGGGGAGTGGGACTAGGGTCTGACCTCACCACACCCGGGCACCTAGCAAGAGACCCGAGGTGGCTCTGACCCATCTTCAGAGCATGACTCTGGCCACGGACACAGCAAGCCAAAGAGGGTGGCCAAGCACTGACCTGGGGCTCTCTGGGGGTGTCCCCTGAGCCTCACAGGCATCGC